AAAGTATCATTTTTGAAAAAGTATATTTGACGTTTTTCGGCCAGTTTTAGTAAAATATCTCACAAAACTAAGTGTGTATAAAAGTTCTTAAAGATTCTTAAAAAACTTTATTTTTAATATACCTAAGACATTTCAAGTCGTACAAGAAGAATCTTAATTTAAACAACGCAAATATTTTTACGAGGACATGTATTCTGAACTAATTTTTTTGCAATTAAATCTTACAATTTTTAGATTTTTAGGCTTAAAATCTCGGTAGCAAAAAATGTTTTCAAAAGAGTTAGTATATACTCGTAGTATGTGGTGGTGTCATTTGATACAACATATATTGTATTGTAAAGCAGTGAAAGCATGAGAGTAGTTGGTGAGTTTTGTTGGTTGTCTACAATAAAAACATGGTGGTGCAATTTTAGTGTCGCTCGGTATATTGTAAAAACCGTGATTTATTGCCAAAAAAATATGTTTTTTAAACATGCTTCAACTAATAAGTACATACATGATTTTCGGTTTGACTGAGTCAAATTTTGCAAAATATGTGCGTTTTTTGACCGAGAACTGAGTTACCAATTTAGAAACGTGCTTAAAAATGTTCGAAAATTTTTTAAATTAATTTCACGTTTTTTTTTGCTTCAGCATAATCTTGCAAAAAAAGTTGCTTAAACGGCCGAAAAAAGCCTACAATTTTTTGGCTTGATTGAGCGAAATTTCGAAAAATACTTGTAAGTGCGTTTTTGGATAAGAATGTGCTAAAATCCTAAAAAAAAAAAACAAATAGTGTTATCAATTAATTGTATTCAACAGACTATTTAATAAACCAAATGACAAATTTGCGTTACACATGATTTCGTTTTCGTAATTGCAATGGTTCTAGACTTCTAGAGACTTAGAAAAGTGTATAAACTATTATTAAAACGAGTTTGATAAAAATTAAACTTCTTGAAATTTATATGCAATTAAATATTAAGTAAGTATACAATTATGTTTATTATTACAATACCTTCATGTTTTATAAAGTTTCATTAAACTTTTGTTATKGGACTTTAATGTGTTTCTGGCAAACAACTTGGCTAATCATGATAAAGTGTTTTTTTTTTTACTTTTATAACGCCGATTACGGTGAAACTATTAGACCTAAAGCAAAAAGCATGATAGTAGTTGGTGGGTTTTGTTGGTTGCCTATAATAAAAACAAGTATCTAAAACAATTATTATTTTTTATTAATACACTATTATTTATTCTGAAAATGTAAATTTAAGTTGAATTTAATCATTTCTTAAAATAAAATAAAATGTATTTCTCGCAACTGGGTCAAATCATGGGAGGAAATATGCCACTTTCTTCCTCACTTATGAAAAGATACTCTTGGCCTTAATTGGCAGTTCAAAAAAAATGGAGTTTAAAACGATATTTCCATTTTTTCATTCCAAATTACACTTTATTTTAGAAAAACATTTGAAAAATATCTAATT